CCCCCAGGACTTGGTTCCCTGGGCTCTGCGGCCGGCAGAGGTGCGGGCAGAGGTGTGGGCAGAGGTGTAGGCAGAGGTGCGGGCAGAGGTGTGGGCAGAGGTGTAGGCAGAGGTGCGGGCAGAGGTGTGGGCAGAGGTGTAGGCAGAGGTGCGGGCAGAGGTGTGGGCAGAGGTGTAGGCAGAGGTGCGGGCAGAGGTGTGGGCAGAGGTGTAGGCAGAGGTGCGGGCAGAGGTGTGGGCAGAGGTGTAGGCAGAGGTGCAGGCAGGGCCCACGCGCCACCCCATGCATTTAATCTCCTTTATTTTCACGTCACCATGTTACAGGCAGGAGGTCTCGACCGCAGCACCATGCCAGCTCCAGCAGCCCCAGCTGCCGGCGGGGCCAGGCTGCTCCCCCCCCAACTCCCCTCCACCTCCCGCTAGATACAATATTTAAAACTTTTAATATAAAGGTTAAGTTCATTATTCTCGATCCTGAGAAACATTTTGTCCGTTTACGGAGCTCTCGCTGTAAACAAAGCACCACAGGCACCAAGCCCGCACCCCGGCACAGGCGTTCCCCGGCTCTGGGGCCGGATGGCAGACGAGGAGACGGATGTCCCCGCCGGCACGGGGATGGGAATGGGGGGCCGGTGGTCCCCTTCCCGTGGCATCGCGGGAGGGGGGGGTCAGCCATACAACCCTGCCCCACCGCTCTCCTTTGGGAGCGAATTCCCCAGGATGGGAATTGCCCGGCTCCAGGCAGGCAGCTCCTGGCTGGAGATGTACCAGGGGCTCTGCGGGTACACGCACCCCCAGCCCACAGTAAACCTCCATGACGCCTCCCCTCTCCTCTCCGCCTCGGTGCCCGGCTGCACGCTACTCGTTATTAAAAAAAATTAAAATACAGATATCCCAAAGGAAGAAATACCCCCCTGAAACGCCCCACCGGTCCTCCCTGCCCCTCCCTCCCCACGTTGCTCCCTTGACACAAGGTAAACTTAAAAAAGAAGATGCCTGCGGCAGTGCCCATAGGTGCCCACTCCCTACAGGCACATCCCAGGGTGGGCAGAGCCGTGGCGGTGACGCTGTGGGTCCCCAGCCCCGGCGGTGGGACCTCAGAGGGTGCCGTGGCCGCGGGATCCCAGGGCGAACCAGCCCATCTTCTCCTGCGCCAGGTCAAGGTCCCGCAGGCGGATACCGACCTCCCCGAGGAGGATGTTTTCCCAGAAGCCTTCCTCGCTCAGCACGCTCAGGCGCAGCTCCCGCTGCTGCAGGTCCCCCCTGGGGATCCCGTCGTAGACCAGCTGCGGGGCAGAATGGGGCAGACCCTCAGCCACAGCCCCCCCGGACCCCCCTATCCCCATTCCCATCCCACATACCATCTCATTGTAGGTGGGGTTGCAGGTTTTTCGGGCCACTTTGGTTTTCCTCTTGGTTGTTTTTTGGGGGTCGGGCAGCAGGTAGGTCTTGACATAAGGGTCAGGGTCATTGCCATCCTGCAACGGTGGCTGTGGAACAGAGCGGGGGGGCACCCCATGAGCGCAGCAGTGGGGCAGACCCTCATCCTGCTCCCACCGGGTGCCGCACACCTACCAGCCCCCTGATGTGCATCACCATGATGAAGAGCTTATTGTTCTTGTAGGAGATGGAGAGCTTCACCTCTCCACCGACCTTCCCCACAGGCCGAGCCCATGTGGCATCTGGAGAGGAGAGGAGAGGCGCAGGTGGGACAGGAGCCCCCCACCATCGCCCCACGCGGTGCTAGCCGGCTGCCAGCACTGCCACCAGCCCCCCTACCTGCTGGCTTCGGGGTTGGGTTGGTGCCAGCCGCCTTCTCGTCCCGTGGCAGGGGGTGGAAGAAGGTGTAGATGAGGTCGCACTGCAGGGCAAGGAGGTGACATCAGCGGTGATGGTGGTCACCATGTCCCCCACCATTCGGGACCGGTGCCTGCGCCACTGCCACATGCACACAGTGCACACACCGATGCTTTACGCGGTGCATTGGCCCCCAAGCACTTTCCCACCTCGCCGGCATTGCCAGCACTGTCCCCATCTCTTGGGAGGCAGAAGCCCCCCTCTGCCCTGCTGAGACCCACCCCCCCAGCTCCGCACCTCTGCCACTTCAGGGGCAGCATGGATGAGGTGCCAGATGTAGCCATTCAACTCCTCCTTCCGCCGCTCGGCCACCGCTTCGCCCCGCGACCGTCCGATGATGAACCTGCTGGGGAAGCTGCGGGAACGGACGCTCAGCAAAGCCCGGGGGGCAGTGGGGAGCGCTGGGGGTCTGCAGGGGTCTGGGGGGTGTACCTGGGCAGCAGTGAGGAAGGGAAGAGGAGGCGCAGCTTGTTGTGGAGCTCCTGGAACTCTTCGAAGGTGCGCTGCACGAAGGCCACCTCGCCCGGGCTCTCCCGCTGCACCTTCACTATGTAGGTCTGCAGAGAGATGGGGCTGTCACATAGGATGGGGACCCTGAGCTGCCCCGACCCCATAGGGGGCCAGGGAGAAGCACTGGGACAGAACCCCTCGAGTTGTCCCTTCGCCTGTCCCCAACCATCCCCACTTACGTAGCCCTTGCTGGGGTTGAAGACCCTCTCGTGACGGCAGAGGAAGACGTCGTGGATCCGGCCAGACGTCTTGATGGTGTGTGTGCGGGGGGCAAAGGAGAGGGTCGGGCGGGCGTCGGAGCCCGTGAACTTCATCTGCGCCAGGTTGTGGATGAAGAAGTTGAGTTTGGTGGCCACGCTGCCCAGGCTGGACTCGATCAACCTGCAACGAGGCCACCACACGCTCAGCACGGAGGAGCCCGTCAGCGTGCCGAGCCAGAGCTGGTGCCTCCGTCTGAGGGCTCCCTCCATCTTCTCCTGCCCCATCACCCACCCGTGTCCTCTACCTGGTGAAGTAGGTGGTGGCATCGGCATCAGAGTCCTGTGGCCTCAGGGCATCATAGACGTACTTGAGGTCCTCCAGGTCGGAGAGCTCAGGGATGCCACAGGACAGCATCTGGAAGGCAAGGCAGGGGGTGAGGGCAGGCGGCAGCAGGAGGACCCCTCTGCCATGCCTGGGGGGCACGGGTGTGCTGCCCCCCGGCTCTCACCAGCCCCAGCAGGTTGAGGAAGAGGTGGGTGTGCTTGCGGATCAGGTTGTAGGCCTGGCAGCACAGGTCGACGAAGTCATGGAAGCGGCTGGAGGGCTTGTCCCCACCGTTGATGACGTACGCCATGTCCGAAGTGAAGACGAACGGTGCCCGGTCCCTGCGCCGGGGAGGGAGGGACAGAAAGTGAGCACAGCTTGGGGGTCACCCCCCACTGGGACGAGGAGAGGGGGCTTCGCCTGAGAAATCGCCCTGCAGGTATGAGCCCAGGCAAGGGGGAAGGAGATGCTGGAAGTGTTTCTCACCTCTTGATGTTGCCGAACATCTGCGCATGGCCCAGGAACCTGCCGAAGTCGATGTGAAACATGTGGCCGGTGGTCTTGAGCATGATGTTGTCATTGTGCCGGTCGCAGATCCCCAGCACGTAGGTGGCCACGCAGCAGCCAGCGCAGGAATAGATGAAGTTTTCCACGGCCTGGGAGGAGGGAGGGAGGGAAGGAGCAACCAGGTGTGCAGAAAGGCTGGACACGTTGGGAAGTGAGGGGTCTCGTCCCTGGAGAGGGGGGCACGAGGAGTGGGGACCCTGCCAGGCTCCTTCTCACCTTCTCGTACTCATCCTCCTCGGGGTTGTGTTTCTGCAGCCAGTCTGCCAGCGGCCGGTCTTTGAAGGAGCCCGTCACGCCGTGCTCCACCTGGATTTTGCGTAGGGTCTCGGCGTTGGGGATCATCTCCACCATGCCTGGCAGCCAAGACAGCAGGGTGAGACCCATCCATCCCACTCGGGGGGCACTGACACCCCAGCCCCCTTTGCCACCAACCCAGCCGCTCCCCAGCCATCACCGTTGAGTGACAGCCTGCAAAGCCGTGTTCTTACAGATGGGCTGGTGGGATCAGACCCAAAGGTGGATCATGGCTACCCACAGCAGCTCCTTTCTAGCCGAGCCCCAGGACCTCCTGTGCTGTCACCAGCCCAAGAGCATCGCAACCTGGAGCCCGATGCTGCCAGGGGATGCCCCGATGCCGGGTTACCTCGTCCACGGCCGGTGGAGAAGCAGCGGAAAATGACCATGCGCATGTCCAGCCCCTCCTGCACCCAGATCTTGTTCATGATCCGGATCATCTGCAGCGTCAGCATGTCCTGCCGCAGGTCATCACCGCACTGTGAGCCGGCAGGGAAGAGCCATCAGAGCCGGGGAGCGGCGGGGGCAAAGCTGAGCCAGCCCAGGTGGGCTGGGGCAGCCGTGCAGGGGGTTTGGGCATCGCCGGGAGGATGGGCTCACCTTGAAGATGACTCGGATGTTTTCCCCAAGGGGATCAACGTTCTGGAAGGAGAGCTTCAGGGGGACTGCGTTGGAGTTGAAATAGGAGCAGTCCTGCCACGGGGAGGAAGGCGAAGCCTGTCAGGGTGAGCCAGGTGCGGGCAGAGGAGCCCCCCGATGCCCCCGGCTCCAGCACTCACCCGGGGCACGATCCCCTTCACCAGCAGGCTGGGGCTGAGCGGCAGCCGGCACGACCCGTTGGCCTTGAAGAACTGCTTCACGTCCTCCAGCCCCTCGCGGAGGATGCCCTGCGGGGTGGGCATGAGATGGGGTGGGCATGCGATGGGGTGGGCATGCGATGGGGGGGCTGAGACACAGCCTGGCACCCCCCTGCACCCCCTTTCACCATCCCGACACCCACCTGGCGTGCGGACGGGGCGGCATCCCGCACTTGCTGGGCCAACCTGGCCAGCGTGCTGACGAGCAGGCACTGCCGGTCAAACTCTTCCCGCAGCCCCTTCCCGCAGCAGCAGAGCAGAGCTGCCAGGAGGTACTGGTAGCGGATGCTGGAACGGGGGGCCCTGGG